ATTTATCGACAATATCAAAGAAATCATTCATATGATCTCGAACATCCCCATTCCCCTCCAGTTTCATTACTGTCAGTTTCTTCAGCAACGTTGATTTCCTCTGTGGTCCCTTTGATTGGTAAATTGCATTTAGCTTGTCCCACATCTGTTTCGAGGTCACGCAGTTCTTGACTTGTTTTAATTCCGCCGGGCTGATGTTCAGTATGATGTCGGATTTCGCTTTTTTATCATTTACCTCCCAAACTCTAACAGCTTCACGTGATGCTGCACCATCCTCCAACGCTGGTTTCACTATTTCTCCAGATACATACCCCCATTCATCAAATTTAACGAGTAATGCTTCTACCTGAATTTTCCAAGTGTCATAATTATCTTTTTGTAGTGTTTCTATCTTTGCTGATCCGTACGTCGCCATTTCTTCAGGTTCAGAAAATTCTTGCGTGTACTTCCCTCAGCTTCTTCAATTCCACCGTTTCTATCTTCCTTTTATTTGAGTCGTGAGACTAGGCTCATAACCTCTTGAAGTAATTAGCAGTTATAAAGAAAGATAAACGAGATATTCAATTGATAAATGTATTTTCTATGAAGATACATGTAAATATTTCAATGTTCAATTAACGAATGTTAATTGATAATTAATCAACAACCCTTGACAACCAAACATCCACCTATCGTTCTATTCTCTTCAACAGAGATGATTTGCGATCGATATAGACTATTGGGAGGATTCTAAATTCATTTTCCACGTTTTTCGTCTTCTTCTCCCTTAAATTGACCTCTCAGGCTTAAAGGACCAAGAGACCGTGGAGCGCGCACTATGTGACGAATTCATCGTCTTCAAATTTCCCGGGTGAGAACTAACCAACTTCATGCCTATGCGATTAACCAATGAGGAATCTGTCTTACGAATTTCGAGATATTTCGACTCTAACGATGTTCATTTATGTGTATGACCTTTCATAAATAGGATTCCAAACTTCTAGGTGCAAGCGTATGGCGATCGCCCCCCCCCCCCAAATATGAAATAAACATTTTTTTTCTAGTTCACAAAATCACCGGATCGCAAAATCTCCTTCTATGGGGTTATTTTCCATCCTCCTCTATTTTTTAATATTTATTCCATTCTTCTAGGTGCAAGCGTATGCCGGTCACTTCCCCCCATCCCCCGAAAATTTGAGATAAACATTTTTTTCTTGTTTAAAACATCAAGGGATCGCAAAATTCCCGTCAATGGGGTCGTTTTCCACCCTCCTCTATTTTTTAAAATTTATTCCATTCTTCTAGGTGTAAGCGTATGGGGGTCACTCCTCCCCCCCCCCAAATTTGAAATAAACATTTTTTCCTTGTCTAAAACATCACTGGATCGCAAAATTCCCTTCCACTGGGTCGTTTCCATCCTCCTCTATTTTTTAAAATTTATTCCAAACTTCTAGGTGCCAGCATATGGTGAATACCCCCCCCCCCCCGCCCCGCCATGCCCCACAAAATTAAAGAGAAAAACTTTATAATAATTTCAATTATCTAAATAATTTAAAAAAAATTGAATCATTCCACGAAATTCGATAATTATTGAATTCATTATTTACTTCGAAAAAGTCACAAAATAATTAAGATCCCAAAGGAATCTGAGCAATAAGATCAATGTACAGTCTTAAATCAAGACTCGTTTAAGGACTAAAAAATCGAGACATTTGGATCTTAAAATAAGACCCGAATTTTAGTAGTGTAGTTGAAGGTTCGATTAATGCTATTCACCCAAAACTTTTGTTTGTATATGATAAAGCATTGAAGAAAATTATTGAGAAAATGCCTGGGACATGCTACACGCCCCGCTATACGAGTCACGAAGGGCTGACCACCACTCAGTGAGTCCTGGTGACAACATAATTTTGATTGCGATGACTAAATGTATTGCATCCCAATGACTCGCTGGGAAAAGTATTGATTGCATTCTATACTAGTGTTATATTCACGCTTCGAGTTGATTTATTCTTCACTCTACATATTGTAACATAGTTTTGTGCCAGTTACATGAAATTTTCAGTTGGTTTTGATTCTGAAAATCGAGTCGTGAGATCTATAAAAGAATACTGTGATCGTTACACAACAAAATTGAACACAATACTAATAAACCTTGACACTCAGAAAATAGTGATAGGGACCGATCGTTTTTCTCTCAGTGCGTAACGCGGAACGATAGTGATGAATGAAAATTTATTTGAGTTCCGTGAAGTGCACACATTCTGAAATTTAAGCCAATGAAAATAATTTACTTCTCTCAAGAAAATATGTTTCAGATATTAGAAATTTTTTTTCTCAGTGTTATATGTATTTGATTTACGGCACCGTCATCCCTCCCCTTGTACATTTGAGAAAAGCTGTCTGTTAATTAAATTGGTTAATGAAATTATTTTAATGAAAGTAAATTGTAGTGTAATGATTCTTTTTAAAGATTGAAAATAATTATTGATAATGGTTGATAAAACTTAATTTGAATAGTATAATAATAGTTGTTAAATTATTTGAATAAACTTGTCAAAATTAAGTTCAGGTGGACCGGATCTGAATCTGATCATTTTCTCTCCACTTGATCCCGTTCAAATCACGATCAAATGCATCAAATCCGAATTTGATCAAATTGGGGTCAGGCAGCCTGACCTCAAGATGAGATCATGACTACCTGATCAGAAGTTGATCTGAGACCGCCTGCAGTTTTTCGGATCCGATCTACTGGAGAGAACTTGGTCAGGTTCTCATCAGGAATCGCCGGATCAGTCGAGCCTTACAAAAACTAGATCACGTTCTAATCGTGCTTCAGGTGAGCCTGAAGCAATTTCCACTCGGGATACTTAATGACGCATCCACCCGCAGACCCGAACCGTCCATACTTTATAATTTTATAACCTAACCATCGGTCCCACAACTATGCCGCGTACTTCCGCAAGTCTGGACAGTCCCCAATTGTTCCTTAGCTCGATTCAAATTCCAATTTATTACTTTATTATTATAATTCCTAATATTTTTAGACTTAACCGTGTTCTGGCGGGACGTTTTCCACCTTCTCTTTTCTACGTCTTTGCCTCAACAGACTACACTCACTCAATAATTGAAAAGATGCATTCCACAAACATGCAAAACAAGTATCAAATTAATTTTTACAATCAAATATAATTTCCAACAATGTTTACACTCCTTTTAATGTTTTATAGAGTATAAATTACAATGAATGAGGTTTGCTATGTGTTATCCACTCGCATTCATGACTTTTATGAGGCTCTCAAATTATTAATCAATAATTGTGTGTGCCCCTAATATTATAACGCATTATGATATTCCGTTAATAGTATACTGCAAAAAATCCTCCAATGTAACTCGGTGAAATACATCACTAACAGAAACCGTCAGTGTAATCTTTACCAAACTTTTACCTCCACGTACCGTCATAAAGATTCTAGAGGAGATGGAGTGCTTGTACCGCTTACCTAAGGGGAAATGCCAATGTTATACCGTCAACCTCAACATGAAATGCAAACAATTGGTTTAATATCTTCTTTCACTATCCAATGTGTTATTTCTGAAAAGCAAAGATCTAACTCTGGTCAGAATTTACGAAATTAATAAAAAACTAGTATTACCCGCCGTCCGGTAACGGCGCTCGGCACGATTCCAATGTCACTCACTCCGTTGCCTGTATCGCTCACCCCGTTACTTGTATTTCGGGATGGACGATGCTTTTAAAAACATCGATTATGGAAGAATCAGTATTTTTGAAAAACATCGATCTTGTAATTCGATGTTTCTGGAAAAAAAACTTCGATTATTAAAAAACTCGATGTTTTTTCTCATTCCACAGGAAACAAAATAAATTGTTAAAATAGTGTATTTCGATATAAGGCCTAAAAAAATTTTCTGGCGAATATGAGCCTGAGTTCAGCCCGAGCCGAAGTGGGGGTTGCAATTCTATGAGCTAGAAAAGTTTTTTAGGCCGTGTGTCGAATAATATTGTTTGCCGCGTAGAATAATAGAAGATATAATGAGTCTAACTTTCACCATTTGCTAATATTTAATTGGATATTTACTTATTTTGTGCGATAATTGCATGAATAATAGCGACTTTCGATCATTTTCGATACCTGTCTCAATGGAAAATTAATAACCGCCGAACTACGGCGAAAGACAAAATCTAATTGGCGTCAAAATTCTTGACATTTTGTTGACGATTTTTGATGAAAATTTTAGATCTTTGAAAAATTAGCTTTCTGAGTAAATCCTGTCAGACTGAAGATAACGTTATATATGGCGTCTCATTTTAAAGGGTTTTTCATGTTCGCTGTGTCGACGAGGGATTTGATAGCTTGAAATTCCGCAGAAATATTGAGGTCAATTTGGAAAAAAAAATGACAAAAACTAGTAATTTAAAAAAAATCATTACTCCCTCAATTATCAATATTTTCCAATTTTTCTTTTTTCAAAATTTTTGTCTAATCTCCACCATTTCAGGAAAAAATTGAGACGAAAATCCCCAGCATCGACTTTTTTGTCCTCGTGATCGTCGTGGACCAGCTCATATTTAAAGTGGTAAATAAAGTGAAATTTTAAAAAAACCATTCCTACATCAAATAATTCATATTGAGAGAAAGAATATATATTAGAATTCATAGTTGTGGAAAAACCAGGTAAGCGGTATTGCCCCCTGAGCGGTACAGGCGCACTCTCCCCTATCGTGCAAAGTAGAAATTTCCGAATGATATACGCATTGTTTATTCCAATCGCCTCATAAATAGAACCAAAATTCCGTAACGTTGGGGTTTGATGTAATACAAGCGACATTAAGCAGCATTTGAATTACGGCCCGATGCAAATTTCATTAGTAGGTCTGGTCGGACATTCGTGCAGTTTGTATCACTTGTATTTTTTCCGTTCTCTCTTTCTCGCTCCACTCCCTTCCCCCCATTGTTTCTTGTTTGCTTGGATTTTGTCACACTGGACATGACCAACAGCAATCACCTGACAAGCCTGGACGGCGATTGGGGCCACGTGTCGGAGACACTGACGAACGGGTTCTTCGGTGAGAATAGCATCGTCGAGATCCCCCGTGTATTCTCCCACTTCGAGAATCTAGTCTGGCTAAATCTGGATAACAATGATATTCAGGATATACCATCAACATCATTACCACCCAACATACGTACAATGAGTGTAAATAATAATTTATTATCGTCATTTCCCCTGAGTATCGGTGACTTACCAGTGATAACGTGGTTATATCTCCGTGGTAATTCAATGAGAATATTAGAATTACCGGATTTCAAGAGTTCAGTGCTGGAATTACTCGACGTATCGGAGAATCTCATTGAGTCAGTGAGATTTCTGACGTCATCGAATGCAACACTACACATCAAAGACCTGAATATATCGAGCAATAAACTGTCAGTGATACCGGCTGATGCATTTCAGTATGTAGAGACACGGAGAATGCATTTGTCATCGAATAACATCAGCTACATAGACGACGAGGCATTCAGGGGATTGGAGAATATTCTTGAATACTTGAATATCGAGAACAATGGCCTAACAAATGTACCAAGTGCGCTTTCAAAGTTGAGAAGAATTGCTTATCTGTACCTGAGTAACAACGATATATACAACATCACCGCTGATGCATTTGACTTATTTGGGAGTAATTTGAGGGCACTGTCGTTATCTAATAATCATTTGGCCTCACTACCGGTTGGAGCACTTGGTAATTGCGGTAGACTTCAGCATCTTAATCTTGGTTATAATAAGATAACACATGTGTTCCCCGGGGATTTTGAGTGGGCTAAGAATCTTGAGATACTACTGCTGAGGAATAATGTGATAGCAAAGTTAAAGTCAGGAACATTCAAAGGGGCTAGGAGATTGAAAGAACTAAGTCTGTCATTCAATCAATTGGCGGAATTGGATAGTCGTGCTTTTATGGGCATCGAGGAGAGTCTGGAAATTCTGGAAATGAGTTTTGCATTTGCTACTGATGTACTACCAAAGGCTGCATTTGCCAGTTTGAAGAATCTACTGTGGCTTGTGCTGGATAATAATAATTTTCACGCCATCGATTCTGATACTTTTTATACGTTTCGACAGTTGAGGTATATCAATCTTGAATCGAACAGATTGCACTATTTACCGGATAAGATATTTCAAGCCGATAGACATCAGGAATTGCGGGATGTTAAGTTCGGGTACAACTTTCTTGAGGCTATACCCGAGGGGACATTTCAAAATCTCACGGAATTGAGATCACTAGATTTAACTGGAAATAGAATTCATTACTTGTCTTCCGGGACAATTGATAATTGTCCGAAATTGGTTACCGTCTCATTGGCGTACAATAGAATATCAGGGATGCATAAAAGCGCACTTCATGGATTGTCCAGTTTGAGGTTTCTCCATCTGGAATTCAATGATCTTACTGCACTGGATTTGGATGCCATTGTCGAGAGTGGGGGACTGGAATTCTCACTCAACGTCTCGTATAATTCAATCTCGGTGATTAATTATGAGTATGGGTTGGCCAATCTTACCAGTCTCGATCTTGCTTGTAATAATATAACTCAGTTGGCGGGGGATATCTATGATGGCCTGCCGAATCTCAGGAGTCTCGACCTTCGGGGGAATTACTTGACTGCTGTACATCCTGGTATGTAGTTTTTTTGATTGATTAGCTTAGTTTAGTATTCATTGGTTTAGTTTTTGCTGGCTTGAGGTCAGCAGTGAAGGGGTAACAAATATTCAGACTTTCAAAGATTTAGAAAATGGCAATAATCTTTTTAAATTGAGATTTTTTCTGTTTTGGGGGGTTAAAATTTTATTTTAGAGACTTTCAATCATCGGATTTTTTAATTAAATTGGGTGAGTGAAATTTGAAAGCATTTATGTAATCTTCGACAGTTTGAGACTTTTATGGATTACGAATTGCCGACACCGTCAGAAAACAATTGAAATTCCATGGACAGTTTAGTGATAATTTTTATGAGAGTGACATTTAATTCGATTTAAGGAAAAAATGATTATGATAAAGAGGATTTTATCAGAACAAATTCGCTGAAGTAATTTAACATCCTTCAGTAGCACCCTCGAAAAGATCGTAAACTTTCATCCTATAACTCATAAAAATAAAAAATTAATCCAGACTTCAGTTTATGGGAAAACATGAAGAAGATATTAATTTGATACGAATTAAAAATTTACTTGATGACTCTAAGCTCACTGAAGTGAATTAATTTCCATTTTTGTCTGCCATTTTTTCATCTTTTCACGTGTATTCTCCAATTTTATCAATTTTTCTAATTAATGGTTCTTAAGGGATATCCTTAAAAAACGGTTTCTCTTACCATTGTCCCCATGTTTCTTATAGATAACGTTCATTATATTCCCCAGCTATTGAAAAAATTTTAACTAGGTGTTATACACAGTTTAGGAGATAAAATTAATGAAATGCGGGCTTCTAGCACACAAGGCAAAGGCCAAACGGGGGTTGTGGGTCCCCCTGACCTCGATGTTTTCATCTTAAGGGGTAACGGAACCGACCACAAAAAGACGTTTACGAAAAACAAGTTTTCTTGGATTCTATGCCATGAGAATCAATGAAACTTTTTCCCCGTATTGAGAGTAGCGAAACGCATCGCTCTCTTCTCATGCTTTTCTTATTTATGCAAAAAAAAAATTGCAAATTATTTAACGCTAAGGACCAGGGCAAGGCTGACGCCATTTTATTTGTAGGAATCTGCCAAGTCATAGTAGAAAAACCGATTTGTTATAGATTTTTCTTAGCCGATGGCTTCTTTCATGAGAAGAGAACGATCGAGTGAGGTCCAAGACAGAGATTTTGAGTACAAAAACGTACTTTTGTTGCGTAATTTTTGTAAAAACTTGTATATGGTGATTGGGTGGTATCCAGGAGGTAACATGACCTTTACAGGGCACCAATTGTAAGAGGGAAGTACTTTTACGAGTCAGAAGATGATGTAGAATGTTTCCATACCATTATTATTTATTTATATCCATTTATTTATATTTTATGGGCTTTTGTACTTTTCACGTACAAAATCCAAAAAACCACGAGAACCTGCAATACCGATAGGGGGGACCCCTAACGTCAGCGTGCGACGGGTTCCGTTACCCCTTAAGAGAAAACGGTTCTTACGGTGTTCTTGAATACAAATCCGTGGTAGATTGATAAATTTTGAATACGGTGATTTTTTTGTAAAATTTTATACTACATTGTTTCTGCGAACTCTAAAAAATGGAAAGTTCCTTAAATCATTTATTATTTGATTTACACAATTAATTAACGAATAATTTCTTATTTGATTCAGTTATTGTTACATTCATCAACAACATATGAAGATGGAAAGACTTATGAGAAAGCAATTATTTAAGTAATTTAGTTTTTTTCCGAAAAACTATAGAAACTAACTTTTGGGTGACATTCTCTTGGGATATACCTTAAGGATATCCAAATACTTCCTTCAAGTTAGCAACTTTTCTTTTCAAATAAAATTTCAATTTTGTTGGCAATCTTGCCATTCCCATACTTTTTCGGATTTTCATTGTTGAGTACATTTTTTCGGGAATTTATTCAATAAATATTGTCAACAATATTTTATTAAAATTCACACTTGACTCACGTTGCTTTAATCTGTAATAACCATACGGCAACAATGTCCATGTGTTCCATATGATCTCATCGATTCGGTCCGAGTAGTCACTTGAGCGGACCGTTGCCAGACGTCTGGAACGCGCGGATTCGAACCACCTAATATGACCATGGTACTGCAATCAAGAAGCTTTTAATGTGGTTGTTTGCAATTATCTATCCGGAAACTTATATTTTTTAATACCGCAGAAAAAACTAGAGAGTATGGTGAACAAAGTCATTTACGCTTATGTGTACGAGAATAGTATATTACGTGCTAAGGCGGAGAAGTGCTGAATTCAACGCTGGTGGAGTACAGGCGCACGAGGCACGTGAGTCGTAGACGAACGGTGCCTCGTGCGCCTGTACTCCACCAGCGTTGAATTCAGCACTCGACGCCGAAGCGCGTATACTATTTTTTATTGCGAAAAGCCCGTGGGGGTTGGGGGTGGGGGCGTGGAGC